TTTCAACCCACAATAAATAATTAATTTAATTTCATCAACCAATAATAACCTAATTACCCATTCCCATTATTCTCACTTTACATCCCTAAGACAACTAACACAAGGGACCTAGTCTAAGAATATTTAATCGGGGCGACAACACATGCTTCGGGGGTTCCTCAGCAATATAAGTCAAATAAGGAAACCATGAGGGGGATGGAATACAGCGAATGAACACCCAAGTTCATTAATATCTACAGGTTATGAGCCTACTAGCGTTCCATTGGACTGTCTAGAAAAGTCTGTGGTCGTCATCTAAATTTCGCTAGATGACTGGATTATAATGACATCGAGGCCTCTCATCTGTTTATCACACAACTATCTACCCATTAACTACCCAACATATTAGTAGATAAAAATATATATTTTTATACATAGTTTTAAACCTTTATAGCATTCTCATTCAATACATATTCCAAACAACAGATGAGGCACATACACATAACACGTATTTCATCGAGAATAAATCATATCTATGAGATAGAAGAAAGTGAATATACATTCACACATATAACAACAAAATATACACCTAACACGTATTTCGTATAAAATACTTCATAATTATGCGTTAGAAGAAAGTAACCACACACTCACACCAAACATATACTTAATACATTCAAACAATACTTGTATTAAAATCGTGTTCATGAAAGGGACTATACACTCACTTGATCAGAAGATGATCAAACAGAACTACGGCTCTTAAAGTAGATATTCTTCGGTGAAACTGGGATCACTTCACACACCGGGTTTCTCGCGGGCAGAGCTTCGGCTCGGAAACTCTTTTCTTCTCGAGATCTTTGGACTTCGGGACTTGCTTCGGGTCTTGGGGTGATACCGGGGCTTCGGGGGGTTAAAATTGCACATAAAACGATGTAATATGGGAGAGAGATGAGAGAATGAGCAACCAAACTCGGTTGGCCCTTCAAACCTATTTATACGGCAAAACAGGCCCTTTCCACGTCGTGGCACCTTTTGCCACGTCGTGGGCTTGGTCGTCACTGCATACATCATCGCAAGTTGCATCTGGGGGACTCCCGGAGGTGTCAGGAGACTTGCCACGTCGTGGTCTCTGACACAACTTTGGGGTTCGCGCCCCGAACTTCAGAAATTCATAACTTTCGCATACGAACTCCGTTTTCGACGATCTTTATATCGACGCGAATGTGAGATTATGCTCTACAACTCTCTTTTAGACTCCATTGGCTAATTTTGAATTTATGTTTAATATATTATAAGTATATTACTTATATATTATCTTTAGTAGGCCGGGATAGGAAAACTCCGTTCAAAATTCATAACTCCTTCATCTGAACTCCGTTTTCGTCTGTCTTTTTATCGTTGGAATAGTATCGAAGAAATCTTCGACTCTCATTTAGATCACTAAGGATAGATATCTATCTACCTTAAATTCACTATTTACGTTGCGCTGGGTCATGCCGGTTCTATCGCGAAACTTCGACAGGTCATAACTTTTTCGTTATAACTCTGATTTTGGCGTTCTTTATATGCACGGAAACCTTATGACATATACTACAACTTGGTTAATATTAATACTTCTAAATAATATTCCATCAAAAAGTCATTTTTGATGCTTATCGTCTCTAAATTGACTAGCCCGAATCTACGAGCGTTACACAAATGCATTCCCCGCATTCAACTAGTTACTCTGTAGATGGCACATATCTGAATTTATAAAGAAACACTGCAAACCAAGTTTATAGTCTAATGGTATTTGGGGATCATATAAGAAAGTATGAGCAAATATAATTGAGTCATCAACAAGGAGATCATATTTAGAAAATTATGCTCAAATTCGATCATTATCAAAAGATTGTCCGGGTATTATTAATCTTCAATATAAAAAAAAATATGTGTGTGTGTGTGTGTGTATATATATATATATATATATATATATATATATATGCAAATCAAATCAACCACACAAATTATACAGTTGTTTTCAATTATATGTTTGCTTTATGAATCATTACATTTTCCTCATCGATTCAAACACACAAGTTATACAGTTGCTTTCAATTATTTATTTACTTTATAAATAATTACTTTAAATATGTCTTTTTCTATATGATGTAACGACCCAAAAATCAAGGGTAAAAAAATTGTTTTTATTATTGTCAAACACAATTATCATTGTTATCATTGTTCATTGTTTAGCAGACAGAGGTGAGTCTTCTCACCATACCAATGTGTCTAAGGAACTAAGGCCGACCCATTTTATATTAAGTGGTACACTAGTTGTAGTAGAGATATGTGGTATGAAAGTTAGCGTTATGCTAAGTGGTATGCTAGTGATTATATGATATTTGCATGAAAGACCTCGGGGGAGCCCGTGGCAGTTGGATATAAGACCATGTGGTGGAGCCCATGACATTCCTAGTTAAAGACCATGTGGGGGAGCCCATGGAATTCCTAGGTAAAGACCATGTGGGGGAGCCCACGACATCCTTATATGTTTATATATATGTTATGTAGTATGATAGATACTTCTGTGATATATGATATGCCCGTGGAAGTGGGATATAGTACCATGTGACATTCCTAGGTAAAGACCATGGGGGAGCCCATGACATGAAGGTATAAAACCCTCGGGATACCCACGACATCCTTATATGTTAGTATGCATGACTTATGTGGTATATGTAGCTTTTATAGCTAATATGATATGTGTTGTGTGGATTGTGTGTAGGGTATGCTCTGGGGGGGCTCAATAAGCATTAGCTTACAGTTTGTGGATTTGTTTCAGGTACATCCGAGCCTAGTGGCAATGACAAGGCTTGATGGCGCGGCATGCACTCTCTCAAGCGTTTTATGAGACACTCTGATGTTTTGAAATAAAAGTTGTAATTGATATGAGTTTTGAAAACAATTATATTTGGATTTTGTGATTTATGGAAATGTGTTTGGTTAATAAAATGAAAATTTTATTTTGAAAAATCAGGTTGTTACATATGATATCGATTTTTTGTTTAATTTTCAGTTGATTTCATTTATCTCAATCAAACTTGGTCGGATAAATACAAGGAAATGTTTCTATCATTTTGGACAAATGGAGTTTTACGTTTGGACAACCACACGAATAATAGAGTTGAGAGTCAACATGCCAGATTTGAGAACTACTTGGATTCAAATCACTCCAAGTTGCATAGATTTTCTCGAGTAAATTGACAAGACACTTGATTACAATACACAACCATAAAAGGACGTCTTGAAAAATGCAGAATCGAAGTAAATCATTTCCACAACATAAACATTTTCAAAAGCTTATTACCTAAACTTTCACAACATTCTTTACAAAAAATGTTCCAAGAATTAGATCGACCCAATTTTCAAAATATAACTGAGATCAATTGTGGGTATCAACTGCATCGTACTTACGGATTGACTTGTGCCCACGAAATTTTAGTTTATTGCAATACAGGACGACAAATACCTTTGGAGTCAATTGATTATTTTTGGAGGATACTTGATGTAGAGAAAGTTGTGCAGGACACTCGATATGATGAATCGGATTTTGATGGTGAAGCAGACCTTTTAAAGAAAAACTAAAATAAAGAGTCAAATGATGTGAAGGCTAATTATCTTCAAAAAAATGATGAATATATGGAAGTCATCACCCACTATGGCTTTTAAGCCTGCTATTCCCAAATACTCATGGATATCCACGAGCGAGTACAAAACCATCACAAGAAAAACCTTCGGTTCCGCCAAATTAAGATCCTCATAGACGTAGTTTTTCTATGTATAGACCAAATTATATGGGGTCTAATATGTTTGATTTAAACCAACAACCAGAACCGGAGAGGAACAACACATATTCGTTTGGAGAATCTTTAATGTTCAATTAGGAACCAACGTATCAAAGATCATACTTCAACCATGCACTTATGAACGAAATTTCAATTTAATTCCAACCATACGTGTCAAACATACAAAATGTGGAAGGAGAGAGAAATTGTGGATTACGGATCATAGTTGTTGCTCTTGGTTTTAGTGAAGGCTATTGGCATCAAATTCGGACGAACTTATAAAGACAATTATTAATGCACATTGATGATTACATAATGGTTTTTAAGGGTAAAATTTAAATTAATAATTTTGTTTTAATATTTGTAATCATCTCTAACTCTCTGTTAATTACAAAATAAATTTAATTCGTTGTTGACATCGTCCATATGATCAAAATTTAACGAAAAAATACTATTAAGATCGTTTATTTAATAGTTTTTTATTTGTTTAATTATTTTTTTTACTTTAATAGTAAAAAAACAAAAAACAACAAAATAAAAAAGTAAAAAACAACAAAAAGACCAAAAAAAAAAAAAGAAAACGATAAAAAAAATAGTATTAAGATCACTTATTTAGCAAAAAAAATTATTGTTTAATTATTTGTTTACTTTAATAATAACAAATCCAAATAATATAAAATAAGCTACATAAGTAAAAAAAGACAACAAGACAAAAAGATAAAAAAAAACAAAAAATCAAGAAAAATACAAAAAAAAAAAAAAAAAAAAAACAAAAACAAAAACAAAAAAATAGTACTAAAATCGTGTATTTAATAAATTTTTATGTGTTTACTTTAATAATAACAAAAACAAAAAAAATAAAAAAATAAAAAACAAGAAACAAAAGAAAAAAAAAAAGAAAAATACAAAAAAATGGGGAAATGACACAAATGCCCTACGAACTTCTAGGGTTTACACGTTGAGTCCCTAATATTTTTGTCGGACTTTATAGGTCTTTAAACTAGATATTACTTGCTCTTTTAGTCCCTGACAACCTGTAATAACAGGTTCAGTAACCTTTTAGACCAAAAAAGTCACATTGTGCCCCTATAAAACCAAAAATAAAATAAGTTTGGGAGTAATTCATACCGAAAAAACTCTCATTCTTTTATTCTAAAACCGATTCACATTCAACTCGTACCCTCCCAAGAAATGGATCGCTCCTTTTCTTTCTGTTTTCACCCTCGATCGTCACACACACTCACCGAAGATCACAATGCTCTTCCCCTTCTAATCGATTCTCGATCACAACCCCCTTCCATTATTTTCTTTGATTTGATTTTAGCTCTTCAAGGAATTGACCCCCTCCTTCCTTCTTCTCTGTTCAAAATCACACAAACTACATCTCTTTCTCTCTCCGAGTTGCATGTTTGGTGGATGCGATGATGAGAAGGAGGCATGGGCTTGATGAGGTTCACTGAGAAAATGAGAGTTAATCTCTTTTTTTCTTCGATTTGCAGGTGATTGCTTATGGTGGCTGGCTGGTGGTTTTTGTGGGTTATAGGTGCTCCAGTGGTGGCTTATTTCATTAGACAAAGTGGAGGAATAAGGGTTTTTGGATTGAGCTGTTGTGATATTGATTTGATGGTGATTAAGGTGAGTTATGGTGGCTGTAATGGTTGAATAAAATATTGATGAACAGTTGGATCAGGAGGGTACGAATGGAGTGTGAATCGACTTTAAAAGAAAATGAGAGTTTTTTTTTTGTACAAATTGATCCATGAACTTATTTTTTTGGCTTTATAGGGCACAATACAAGTTTTTTTGGTTTAAAGGTCACTAAGCCGACTATTACAGGTTGATAGAGACTAAAAGAGCATGTCATATTCTAATTTAGCAACCCATAAAACCCGACAAAAACTTTAGGACTTAACGAGTAAACTCTAAAAAGTTCGTAGGATATTTATATTATTTCACCCAAAAAATAAAAAAATAAATAAAATAAAAATGGAATTAAGAGGGCGCATAAAGAAACCACTTTCGAACCGACACACCACCACTTCCCTCACCCACCGACGCTTTCCTCTTTCGTTTTTGCTTTTTGTCACATCTACCTTTTCAATGATCGTAGGTTTGTATTTTTTTTATTTTTATTTATTTATTGACAAAACTACAAATTTGGTCCTTGTGGTTTGCAAAAACCTTTGGATAGGGTCCAAAAAGTTTCTGGCTTGCACCGAAGGTCCAAAATCAAGGTTTTTCATTGTTTTTGGTCCAAAAAAACTTGAAAAGTCGATTTTACCCTTTTCTATTTCTTTTTTCTATTTTCTTTATTGTTTTTGGTATTTAAATAATTAAAAAAAAAAAAATCTTACCCAACACTCTCTCTCTCTCTCTCTCTCTCTCTTTCTCTCTCTCAACTGAAGAACTTCCCATCTTGAAGCAGACGAACGAATTTAGGGCTTTTTCCCTCGTCACTTTGACTGATCGGGCAAAAGAGAGACGGATACGAAGCTGCGAACGAAGCAGACGAACGAATAAAAGGGAAGCATGATGGCTCGTAGGGCGCGATTATTCGTTGATCGGTCGTGAGAAGGATTATCTCCTGGGTCGACGGCCAAGAGGCTGCGAAGGGACGGAGGTCTTCGATTGGGCGAGACAAGCAGCAATGGTAATGACTTTGGTTGTTCGATGTCCAACAGGAGGTATGCGAGGGCCTTTTTGCTCCGTTAATTCCTTGCTTCATCTTCTTTTTGATTTGGTAGGAACAATGAAAAGGTGAAGGGAGAACGAAGGGGGTTTGTAGCTCCCTTGCTCACCGGGAACGCACAAGAAAACACCTCCGACGGAGGTGCTTCTGCCGAAAATCGGGACAGAAGAAGGAAAGAAACAGGAAGAGTTCCTTGATTGTTTTTTTTTTAATCTGGTCAATTTTTATGTTCTTCAGTTAAGAGAGAAGGGAGTTTCATTGTGTGTTTATAGGACCAGTAGTGGGTTCGATTAACAAGATGATGATCAAAGGGAGGGGTATGTCGATGGATTTGTGGAAGATGAATAAGAATAAACCTGGGTTAGGTTAGGGGGAGAGAGAGAGAGAGAGAGAGAGAAAGAGAGAGAGAGAGTATGTGTGTTGGGTAAGATTTTATTTTTTATTTTTTTTAATTATTTAAATACCAAAAACAATAAAGAAAATAGAAAAAAGAAATTAAAAAGGGTAAAATCGACTTTTCAAGTTTTTTTGGACCAAAAACAATGAAAAACCTTGATTTTGGACCTTCGGTGCAAGTCGGAAACTTTTTGGACCCTATCCAAAGGTTTTTGCAAACCACAAGGACCAAATTTATAGTTTTGTCTTATTTATTTATTTATTTTTTCTCTTTTTAAAAGAAAATATCATTGTTGATTTGCTTTTTTTTAAGAAATATCATTTCTTTTATGATTTTTATTTTTGGTCCTAAAAAAATAACTCATATTTCAATAGAGTCTAGTTTATTTATTGTATATATTAGGACGTTTTTATAAATTTGTTTTACGTATTTGTTTATATATAATAATTCATTACTATTTTAAGGGAAATATCCAGAAAGTTTCTAAAATTTTACTCAAATTTACGAAAAAGTCACAAACTAAAATTTGTTTACGAAAAAGCATGAATTACAGGTAAAAATGACGATTTGACTCATTTTTTACGGTTTACCGGATTTATACTTACATGTTTCACTAAAGTCCCATTATTTTACCATAATTTACGAATAAATCCCAAAATAAAATTTACTGATGATTATGCCATTTTCTTCATGTAACATACAGTTTATCGGTTTCATTGACACATAGTCGTTAAATTAGTTGATAAGATGAATACGATGAGTTATATAATGTCACGTTTACTACAAAATTTAATATTAATCTCATTGGCTCATTTATGACTATGTATCTACATCAGCATAAAACCAATAAAATGTGTGTTTCCAAGAAAAAAGGGTAGAAAATTAAGATATTTCTTATAAACGTAAAAAATAACACAGTTGTTGTTAGTTTATGTAATTATAGTAGTCTTCATTGGATGCATTTTATGTTCCAAAAAGATATACAATACATTAGGATATCAAGTTTTATGCTAAACATAGCATTATATAACTCAACATATCCATCTCATCATCTCATTTAATGACTAGGCCTCTGGTCAGCAATGAAACCAGTAAAATGTATGCTACATAGAGCAAATGGCCAAATCATCAGTAAATTATATGTTGGGACTTATTCGCAAATTAGGGTAAAATAATGAGACTTTAGTGAAACAGGTTAGTAATAAAACCGGTAAACCGGAAAAAATGGTCAAATCGTCATTTTTACCGGTAATTCATGTTTTTTCGTAAACAAAATTTAGTTTGACACTTTTTCGTAAATTAGGGTAAAATTTTAGTACTTTTTTAGAGATTTCCCTATTTTCAACTTAAAAACTTTTTAAAATTAGCATATCACTTTCTTCATATAACTTCTACAGATTTCAAAATAAAAAAATCATTTTTTTATAACTTGCAACTTGAAAAAATAACACATCATTTTATGTATAACTTTTTAAAAATTCAAAAAATAATTCATCATATTTTTTACGCCTTACAATTTAAAAAGTTCAAAAAATAATTCATCAGATTTTTTACGCCTTACAATTTAAAAGAGTAACACATTACTTCATCTATAACTTTTATAAATCTCCAAAAATAATTCATCTCTTTTTAAATATCATGTCGTACACATCTAAAATTACCATTACTCATCCTTTAGATCGGAGGGTATGGGAGCCACACCACCATTTCCCTCATTTTCCTTTCCCTCATCTAAAACCCAATGAATGGATGAGAAGCTCTCCTCACTATTTTTTTATTTTTTATTTTTAAATATATTTCATACATATACTATACTTATTTTTTAAGGAATTAAAAACCATGAATTTTGATATATATTTTGATATTTTTTTAATAAGTATATAATTTTATAAATATTAAAAAAAGATAAAAAGATAAGAATAATAATTGGCCAATAGAATGATGAGAGAGAGTACCACACCCCTTCTTCCTACCTCTTTCACGCGGGTTGCTCCCGTCACCCACAGTACGGTGTTCCAGTAAGAGGGAAGCCTTCCCGCTCCCCTTTCCCGCTCCATACCCTACGACCTTATAAATCTCAATTACTACTCTAATAGAACTTTTATAACATTTTTCATTAGTAAAATGATGAGTTTTAGCCAAACGAAGGAAGTGAAGCTGTTAACACCTTGTAAGAATTTTCTACAAAAATGATAATAATTAGTATATATTTAATCTTCTTGAATTGTCAAGTAGTATTATGAGTTTTTTTACCAAAACAAATCAATTTCAAGTGTTTAAGTCTTATGACGATTTTGTAGTTTGGGTGCAAAAGATGGGACATGTATTCAGCTACACCATTATCATAAGAAGAAGAAAGATAAGAGTAAGTAGACTCTAAATAAAGTTAACCTTGTATACGATGTGGTGATATTTATAAAAGTAAAAATATCCAATATAAAAATGCAAGGACAAAAAATTAATTGTCCTTTGAAATGAAGGATAAATATTTGAAATTACATGTTTTTGGGACGTTAATTGTGGTATGTGAAATACATAACATATGAAGCTGGAGAAGATATGGAAGGCTGTGTACTTGCAATGCGATTGATTGATAATGAAACTTGTATGGTGGCCGATTTGTCAATAAAGAATGTGAATCCCAACATGATATTTTATAAACCTTGAAAGAGCAAAATCCATAAAATATGTCTATGCTCCAGGCAAATATAGAATGCCAAATAAAAAATACGAAAGAATGAGCATGAGGGTATGACCCAAATGCAAGGTTTTTTTGTCATATTCAAATAAATGAGGTTATATTTATTATTACCACCCAAATAAGTTGCCTAGCGAGTTGGTTAGTTTATTATTTGTTTATCTAACATCAATGGAGATATGGAAAACATTTCTACAAGTGATGTCGATGGACGTAACTTACAAAACGAACAAGTATAAGATGCATCCTCTCAAAATTGTGAGTGTAAATTCAACTCAATTAACATTTTGCTTTGCATTCATATTATCCATCAAGAAAAAGAATTCAATCACATGTGGCATTAAATTGTTTAAAATTCACAATTGGTGGATCTTTTTGCCTCCAATTTATCATCACATATAGAAAGTTGGCATTGATGAAAGCATGTCGCACTGTATTTCCAAATTCTAATCAATTACTTTGTAAATGACACATTAATCAAAATGTTTGGAAAATGGCTAAACAAACTATATGTAACGTCGTGATTTTTCAACTCATTTTTTTTACATTTAAACTACTTATTAACTAAATACAATAACATAAGTCTTTTTAAACAACTGTTTTAAAACATCACCAACGTTACATTATTATCAAAACAACTCACTTCAAAGTTGAAGTTTACAAAAACCAGTAGCAAATGAAAACCAAAACAACATGTCTAAGATGGTATTGTCTACTAAAGAAATATCAAGATCATGACTACCCAAAGCCCCATCCTCACCAAGACAATCAGTCACGCAACCTGAACCATTGCATGGTGAAAGCAACAAACAAAGAACCAGTGTTAGCAAATGCTAAGTGAGTCAATCATAAGTATAATGTTTTTAAAACTAACGTTGCAAAACTCGTTAGGTGTTCCCAGGGAGAATGACTAGTGTCTACCAAGTATTTGGTCCAGGCGGGGAGTACCTGATAGTTTCATTTTATTTAATTATTTTTATAGTTTATTTTAGCATATTTCATCCATAATCTAGTTAGTTTCCATGCATATTTTCCTTTTTGTTATTTTATGACTATTTCGGGTACTTTCTAGTTTCGTGAGCTTTATTGCAGATTACATGGAGATTAGTGGAGCAGGAGTGTTCGCGACGTATGGAAAGCGATGGGAATTGGTGGACATAATGATCTTAGGCTTGATGGTTAGTGGAGATGATGCATGAAGCGAGCTTGATGATTATTTGATGGCTTGGAGAGAAATAAACTTTAAATTTGCAAGATGCGGGAGTTTATTCAAACGTGCATAGATTATTAACCGGACGAGTTTGGATCATTTGGAGAAGCCAAATTGGGTTTAAATTGAAGAAAACTTGAAGAAAAATGGAGTAGGAGTTGATTGTACTCGAATTAGGCCAAGTGGGCTAAGCTATGGAGGCCTAAACCTCAAAGATGTTACATCCAGGGGCCACCCGAGCAACAACACGCAAGTTGCGCAACCTCCTGCAGGGGAAATTCCAGAAATTCTTCTTTTGAGCTATATGGGGAAGGTTGGTGTGCAACTTTTTCACAATCTTTGACATCTAATTTTTGAGCATTCTCTCTGGAGTTTTAAAGATTTTTGAAGGCCAAGAACACCTCAAGAACATCATCTTTTCACCTCTTGATTCTTGTTTAATGTTGGGTACAATCTTCTCTAACTTTGTTACATTGAGTTTAGCCATGCTTGGCTAAACTAATCTTCGTTGACTTTTGTTGAATCCTTTGAATTTTTGTTGAATGTTGAAGAATCCATGAACTCATTCTTAAATCTTTATGGGAATGTTTTGTGTTTTAACATATTATTACTACTTGTATGTTTTTATTAATGAGTTTAAATGTGTTTGTAGTGATTAGTTGGCTAATTTTTTATTAAGTAAAGGATTCTCAAATTAGCAAGCAACAAATGATTTTTGTGTTGTTTTTGCTTCATACAATCATAAAAACATTTCCTCTAAAATGGTAGTGAAAGCATTTGACTCCTTTTGGATTTGGTGACTTTTTGGTTCTTAATGCTAGTTGACTTTCACTAATTACATGCTTAATGGAAATTGTGACTTTGACTAAGGAAATTGTTATGAGCTTCTCTA